AAAAAAAGGAGTTAAGGTGCTTCTTGTAATTTTGGCTTTATAGATTACAAATTTATTCTTGTAATGTATTCGATGTTGCAGATTTGCATCATAAAAACATTTTACATGCACAGACAAGCATTTTACTTTACCTGTAGTATTACTAATCTCTCCCTCAGGACATGCGGTACAGTCATAGCAGCAAATGGGTTTTCCTTTTTGCAGCACTTTACGAGTTCCTGGAGGACAACTCCCACTGCACACTGACACTGGCACCTGTGTAATACAAAAAGGCAGTGTAACATATGTAAATGTTTGCTATAAAACTGAAAAGATTACATTAATTTGCCTTTTTACTTTCGTGCTGCCCTCCATCCAGATGATGTTTTTGTTAATCTGGAACTCCTGGCCCTCTGGCAGTGATGCATCATACAGCCCTACATTCACTATGTCAGTTATGCCAGCCATAGTTTTCTGCCAGTTAACCAACTCATAAATAGCCACAGGATCCCCATTAGTATCGAATGACACATCATATCCATTTCGGGAAAAATGTACTTTCTTCAGCTCAGTTAGAATCTGTAAGGATGAATTGAGACATAGAGGGAGTGGAAAGAAAAAACAAAACAATATTTGAACAACTAAAAGTAATGTTTCACTTAAGGTTTCTTAGAGACAGTGAAACATGTTGGCAATGACTGATTCGTTTTTACTGACCTGCTTGGACTGTAATTTGGTTAGTTTGTCACACTGAGCTGTGACATTTCTTCCCTGACATAATGCATTATGAATGGCATGTGCAATTGCATACACAGCCTTGTACACCATGTTACTAATTCTAAGCTGAGATGTATCAGTGTACGGGGTTTGGAGAGTCTTTATATCTTCAGTTCCATTACATACTTTCTTTCCTGCAGAATTACCTAAAAATAAAAAAGGCACCAAAATGACAGACAATTGAATTCATCCATTTAACATCATATCTTTTGAACATATCACTCAACAAACAAAGAGTCACGTTTGAGAAAAGGGGCCACAGTAATAGTGTTGGCTGACTGCCTAAACTTGACCTAAAGGTTAAACATATAGATTATGATTTGTTGCAGTAACGGACCTTTTTGATTATGTTGGATTTGAAATTGCTTAAATTACAAAAAAGAACATGTCTGGCCTTTTTAAGACCAGACATTTTACAAGAAACTCTAACAACCAAGAAAAACGAAAAATGTTTCTCACTTTCTTTTATTGTGCAGTTGAAGGAATCCTCCCAGAACTCAGTAAGCAGTGGTGATACAGCCACTTGAGCAAAAGAGAGATTCAACAGGAAGTTTCTGAAACCTGGGATTACAGATTTCTGAATTCCAAATCCAATGGTCCCAGCGAGAAAACTGTACTTCCTTAATCCCGGGTTGGTCACCCATGACTCACTGCCTATCCATTGTCGAGGTGGGAAAGGCTCACGTGATAACTCCTCAAACAGGATCTTCATGTCGCCTGAAGATGCAAATGCCACAACAACTACAGCCTTTGACCTTTAGAGACAAAATAATTTTTTTGACTGTCTTATAACATCATGAAAGATTACATTAAATAAATGAAACTAAATTCCCACGTCATATAGAAACCTGCGGATAACATCTGCTACTTTCTGAATCCTGCTATGTGGGTGGGTCCGATAGAAGGACAAAGAGTATTCCACACAGATCCCCTCTCTCTGTGCTGCTTCAAGAAAAGATGCTATGCCGTTATTTCCATAATCCGAATCTGACCGAACAGCACCTATCCAAGTCCAGTCAAAGTGTTTTATCAACTTGGCTAGAGCAGCAGCTTGAAACTGGTCACTGGGGATTGTTCTGAAAAAACTTGGGTACTGCTGCTTGTTAGACAAGCATGTACATGTGGCAGAGGGGCTCACCTAAAACAAAAGAAGACAAGGTAATCCTATAAGAACTGCAGATGTGCATGGATATTTTAAACACCTAGTTTGAAAAAAAATTAAAGTATTTACTTGAGGAATGTTAAAGGGACTGATGATCCGTGACATGCTGATGGATGGCGTAGACCCAGACTCACCAACAACAGCCATCACCATACCTGACTGGGAGCAGTTTTTGCCAGTGTGAAACACAAGGTCCAAGCTATTCAAAAACTGAAATGCCAAATGCACTGTCATGGAAACTGATGCACATGAGTCATAGATCTGATACCCAAGCCTGATTCCGGGCAGCAGCTCTGTATTGTTGTTAATCTCTTCTATGGCAAAGACCATTGCATGTGACAACTGCAGCTCATCGGCATTTATGCTGCAGACAGACAGTCACCTCACTGTTAAAATTGTAGGCTACATAGATTTTGTTAAGATGAAATTTCATACAGATAACACACAGCAAGAAAGATTACCATTACAATACATGCAACATGTTCATAATTTTTTCCATACTGACCTCCCTTTGCATCTTACTGGCTCAGGCATGATGGTATAATCATGGCTCACTGTTTGCGTGTAGGAGTGAAGAGAGAAAGCACCCCCAATAATGAAGTCCCCATCCATTGAGAATGCAGGTAGATGAATGCTACCCTGCAACTTACATTTCACAGAAGAAGCTTCAGTACCAGCCCAAGCACCTGTAAAGCTACTCCTTTGATTCCGACTATCCAGAGACACACCCAAGGCAGAAACTGAGTTCAGCTGAAACAAACACAGAGCAGATACCAGACCAATTAAAAGAACTGAGACTGCCATCTCTCCCTGATGCCAGGTATGTGTGTAAGTGGAATTTATATAGGGTTTTAGAGAAAGGGCTCTGCTCTACGCCTTCAAGAGGACATGATCTTACGCAGTGGTCTTTGATTAAAAGTCTGAAAGGTCATTCATTACTCTAAACAGGAGTGTATATTACAAATAGCCTTGACAGATACTATGAGTTTAGCTGGATTCATTTAGCTTAAAAAAAACAAAACAAAACAAAACAAAACTTTGTCCCCGATAAGGCTTGGAGATATCCTAAAGTTATCTTATCATTCAGTATTTCTTCATTTGACGTTTAATACATTTAGCTCAGTTTATGTGTTGAGAGTTCTAAGTTGGCATGTTTGCAGTCATGTAACTGTACAATATTTCCACACAGAGTCTTTGGCAAATTAATGCTGGAAATTTACTAAGAAATATTAAAAGAAGCTATAATTGTAAAGTCTCACTCTGCTACTACCACCTAGTGGACAACATGATTAAATAAAATATGAGCAATTCATCTTTTACTGTCAACTGAAGACATTTGAATTATAGCCTAATCACAAAAACACATCTTAAAATACTAACAACTTAAAAAAAGAGGCTAATACTAATATATACACCAAAAATGAAAAACATAACCATGACTGTTTCTATTATATTCTCTGCTGTTTTTCCTCTTCTGGTTAAAAAGACCTTTTCTCTTCAGTGTCAGCCAGTACTTGCTCAGATAGAATTGCTCTTACTTTATCTGGAATCACAATCACAATTTAAGGTGCTCTGATCAGCGTTGTTGTTGCTATACAAAAAAAGTAAAGTAAAAACATGGAAGCAAACATCAGCAAGAATGGGTGACTGAACTGGAGATTTAGGTTCCACGGGCATGTATAATGCCCAGTACTCCTTAGATTTCTCTGAGTGGTCACTGACTTCAGAGCCAGCTGTACAGAATAAGCTTAACATACAATCAACAAGATACATGTCTACGCGTGAGTCTTGGTCTCCATAGTGTTAACAGTACTAAAAATAAAACTGTAGACAAGTAAGTAAAGAAACTTGATTTATTTACATTGCCAATTTTCTTCTATGTTTTTGATAATGTTTTTATAAGCAGTAGTTTTTCTGTGAAAAAGAATAGAATAAAATAGAATGGAACAGCACTTTGTGTCACTGTACATATACACAGCGAAATTATGGAAGCTGCACACCAACTGTGCAGGAATGAAATATAAATAGTAATACAGTAAGAAACAAATAGATAATGGTAATAAGAACCAAAGCTATTTAAACCGCGTTTTCTCAACGATATTAATAGCTCTGCAGTTTGTTGCAATCCACTTGCCATTTGTGTCAGTCAAAATGTGCGAGGTAGACGTACTGAGCCCCCGATACGCTGTGAGGTGGTTCGTTGCAAGCTGAGTGACGCGTTAGCCAATGTGCTAGCAGCAGGCCCGGCTAATGTATGCATTGCGTCAATGTGATATTTTAAGCTGAAGAAGAAAATTCCTTCTTCCGCAATGTGCATACGACTTTATGTCAGTCAACTGTTCAGTCTTGTTATTTTTTTAATACTCAAATTTCCCATCAAGAGGGCCAATGTGCATTTATCATCACTGCCAGACCTACTGCCCATTTGCACATGTGCGAATGTAACTCTTGGACAAACTGCCTGAAATGCGTTGACAGAAACGTTTCAGGGATTTTGAGTCATTCTGCGCTCCAGATGCATTAATTGCATTATTTATTTATTTTTAATTATCACTGATTAATCTTTGTTAACGTGTTAATTTTTACAGCACTTTTATGGCCTTTATTGTTTTTTGTTTTTGTTTTTGTTTTTTTACAAAAATAGCAACTTTGTCTTCTCTACAAAAATGCCACAGGGGCAGCAGCAAAAAATATATTAAGTTAGTAATGCCGAATTTATTGATTCTACTACTTGCTTTACTACTCTACTTTACTTGCACTAAATCTTGCATAGTCTGGAAGTTGTCCAGAAGTTGACATTGTCATTAGGGTATTCTTTATCTAATGAGCTAATATGTACCTAGAAAGTGGATGCCCTGTCATAAAATATGCATGTAGGTGGTGCTATACTACAATGAAAAAGAAACCAGAGGAGATATAAAATGAGGTAAGCATTCATTAAGATAAGAAAAGTGGTGTAAAGAGAAAGAGTCATTATGGGGCCATTTTTTGACACACTGAAGTTCTTGTATTTCTATGTGATCATGATTTACTTCTCATCCCACTTTTTCATCTCAGAGTCTCTTTTCTCAACCTGCAAGTTAAGGAGACAGTTTTATCTTAATGGGATGCACAAACCTGGAGATGTTATTTTGGGGGGGCTGTTTGAAGTTCACTACACCTCTGTTTTCCCTGAGCTAACGTTTACCTCAGGGCCAAACATGTTGAGTTGCCAAGGGTAAGTACTATATTCATGCATTAAATGCACCAATTCATGAAAGCAAACACTGGTGCAGATTTTTATACTTTTGTTAATTTTCAATATTGAGTTTTTGGGGTTTTTTGTTTTGTTCTTTACAAGGTTTGACCCTCCTGGATTCAGGCATGCCATGACAATGGCCTTTGCTATTGATGAAATCAACAAAAACGCCAATCTGCTACCTAATGTGACTCTTGGATACAGTCTTTATGACAACTGTGCCACACTTGTAATTGGATTCAGTGCTGCATTATCATTAGTCAGTGGTTGGGAGGAAAAGTTTCTGCTTCACGAGAACTGTTTGGGGACCCCTCCAGTTGTAGGGATCGTGGGTGATTCCTTCTCAACATTTTCTATTGCAACCTCTGATGTAATAGGTTTATTTAAAATGCCAATTGTAAGTTTCCTGTCCTGTATTTTACATGTGCTTTTGGCATGCTGTATTAAAGTTAATGTTTCTCACTAGGGTGAGAAATGACAAAATGAAAAAATAGGATATATACATTGTATATTAGTTCCAGCTTCTCAGCATCAATCTGTTTTGATTTCAATTGTGTTTTTTGATAGGTGAGCTATTTTGCAACATGCTCTTGTCTAAGTGACCGTCATAAGTTTCCGTCTTTCTTTAGAACCATTCCAAGTGATGCCTTTCAGGTAAAACTTTCTTCTACAAAGAGCAAATGTATTTTACAGCAAGTGAATTGATGTAAGTTACCCCGAACTAAACAACGCATTTTTTTTTCTTCAATTTTTCATTTTTTTCTGGATTACGTACTGTGCAAATTGATTAGAAAGAAAAACTGTGATTATGTAATTGTATTGTTTGCACTGAAATATAATTCAAGCCTAAACTAAGAATTTCACTGGTCTTTATGTAGGTTCATGCAATGATTCGAATTCTAAAACACTTTGGGTGGACGTGGGCTGGTCTGCTGGTAAGTGATGATGATTATGGAGTCCATGTAGCGAGATCATTTCGACAAGCGTTGGCTCAGTCTGGTGGAAGTTGTCTTGCCTACTCAGAAATTTTGCCCTGGGGTGAAAACTCAGCTGAACTAAGGAGGATTGTTGAGGTGATGAAGAAGTCCACAGCACGTGTGGTAATTGTCTTTGCACATCAAATCCACATGATTCAACTAATGGAGGAGGTATATCTAAATCAAATTGTATTCATCAGTCGCCTCTTGCTTAGTAATTAGAGATGTAAATTATATTACAGACATTATATTCATGCAAATGAATTGCATGCTGTGTGGTCAAATATTTATGGATGCTGGAGGTATTTCCATTCTTTGTTGTGATCAGTGATGGGGTCATTAGTCAAAAAAAGTAATTTATTACATATATTTTCCAGCTCACTTTTCTTAAAGTAATGTAGTATGCTACTTAATTACTCTCAGGAGAAAGAAATTCGTTATACTACTTGCTACATTACTTTTGCGTTTCTCTGTTTTTTCTCTGTTTCATAATTAGCATTTTAGGCTACAGCCCCACACACCAGCACAACTCCTTATCCAAATTAGGACACACATATAATCTTTCCCCTTGTATTTCGGGTAGGAAAACAAAGCCCACAACACAAAGCAAAGATGAAAACAGCACAAAGAAACTTCAAAGTCATTGCCACAGAGATTCTACTTTAGAAACATGAACAGATAGAATAGGAGGCTACAGCCTGCTCGTGACTGGTTTTGTTACCTTTTGAAGTTCAAGGTCTGTTTGCTGGGCTGGGGTCATCATTCCCTCAGTTTTAACATCATGCTTGATTCTTGGCTAGTTTAGCATTAGCATGCTATCTTTGCAGATGCTTGTAAAGATCTGAAGTTGTGTTAGCAGGATGAGGCAGTTGTTTTTGCTCAGGTTGAAGTTTGCACTTTACCGTCATGCTCATGTCCTTTTGGACAAAAAAATAAAAGTAATGTCCATAGTGGATATGAAAATTACTTTCATCAAACTGTGCCACTATCTTCCTCCTCTGTCACATGAACCAAAATCAGCTGGTTGTAGCACATGTGCAAAAAAGAACCAATAAGCATAATGCATAGCAAGTAAACCAACATTTCCTACCACTACTGAGATCTCAATTTCCATCCCTGTATGTAATGATTTCAAGATTTGTAATGATTCAATCCTAGACTATGTACAGATTTTTTTTGTTCCTTATATTTCTAAATAGGTGATAAAGCAGAATGTAACAGGGCTGCAGTGGATGGCTAGTGAAGCCTGGACAACAGCAGCTGTACTCCAAACAACCCGACACATGCCATATCTGAGTGGCACTCTGGGCATTGCCATTCGTCGAGGAGAAATACCAGGGCTCAGGGATTTTTTAATGAAAATGCATCCTGACATTTATGACAGAAATAACAATGGAAATAGCATGGTAAGATTGTAACTTTAAAATACACTTGTACTCACAAAATTAAAATAAAATGAAAATATCTTTTTTAAGACTGTTTGAAATATTTTTCAGGTAAGACAGTTTTGGGAATACACCTTTCAGTGTAGATTTGCTCCACCTCCATCAGGTTGGTTACAAGGTGGGGGAGCACTCTGCACTGGACAAGAAGAACTAGCAAATATGGAGACTGAGTTTTTGGATGTTTCTAACCTCAGGCCTGAGTATAATATTTACAAGGCGGTGTATGCTCTTGCATATGCCCTTGATGACATGCTACGCTGTGCACCTGGGAGGGGGCCTTTCAGTGGGAACAGCTGTGCTACTTTGCAAAAATTAGAGCCATGGCAGGTGTGGTATTGGTTAACACACTAACATTTATTTTTATTGTTGTAAAATTCAGCTCTTACACTCAAGTGAAAAAGAATGTTTAAATGGGACGTTATACAGTACTGTGAAAAAACTAAGTACACTCTTTCAATTCGATTCAGTTCAGTTCAGTTTCATCTATATAGCGCCAAATCACAACAACAGTTGCATCAGGGCCCTTTATATTATAAGGTAGACCCTACAATAATACATACAGAGAAAAACCCAACAATCATATGACCCCATATGAGCAAGGACTTTGGTGACAGTGGGAAGGAAAAACTCCCTTTTAATAGGAAGAAACCTCAGGCAGAACCAGGCTCAGCAAGGGGCGGCCATCTGCTGCAACCGGTTGGGGAGAGAGAAGGAAGACAGGACAAAAGTCATGGTGTGGAAGAGAGCCAGAGATTAATAACAAGTATGATTCAATGCAGAAAGGTCTACTAACACATAGTGAGTGAGAAATGTGACTGAAGAAAAAAACACTCATTGCATTATGGTAATCCCCCACCAGCCTAGACCAATTGCAGCATAACTACAGGAGGATTCGGGTTCACCTGATCCATCCCTCTATATGCTTTAGCAAAAAGGACAGTTTTAAGCCTAATTTTAAAAGTAGAGATTGTGTGCCCTCTCTCTTTTGATTCAATAGCTTGGAGAACCACCTTTAGTAGCATTAACTTGGAGCAATCAATTTCTGTATGATTTATCAATGTCTCACATTTTTGCAGAAGACTGGCTCTTTTTTTTAACAACATTGCTTTAGTTATTTTGATTTTGTAGGTATGTTTAAGTACAGCACTTCGTCCATTGCAACACTAGTTTTCTTCAAATTGTACTGTCACAAACTTACACATTTAACATGATAATTTAATCTTGTAGAATCTGTAATGTAGATCTTGGGTTTTTGGAAATTCTGTAAGCAGTGCATAGTCTGACTTTCAGGCAACCTTGCTGGGACGCACTCTCCCGGGAAGAATTTGGCATTGTGTTAACACACGTGAATGCTCTAGAACACCAAACTCCTGAATCTTCTGTTTATATAGAGGTGGTCACACTTGCTGATGATCAGTTAATAAAGTACATGTGAGTAGCAATACCTTTCTGCTACTTACCCTTTTAATTCCTATGGAAATAGTAAGAGTGTTCCTGTGAACTTCTTTTTCACGTGAGTAATTGGTGTTAAAGACAGATTTTGAAAACACAAGATTTTATTAACATTGTCATTAGAACATAGTTATTTTACATGTGTGAG